CGTCCTGCTCTGGTAGGTTCATATAGCCAATTGCAAGTGTTGGTCCTTTAACATATATCTGAAACAAAAACATTTCCATCATCACTCCAACATGGCTCATCACAGCAGAGAAAATCAGTCTCCTGTCCAGCAAACATTAAGAAGCTGGATGAATGGCGTAAACCCTGTGCCAACTTATCTTTAACATGGGGAAACTTCACAAATGAGGTGGCAGAAGCAACATCATGGCAGTAGAACCATGAGCTGATGTCAAATGTCACCATTTATTAATACGCACAAATTTTTGACTGAAAATTTTGAGCTTTTTATAAATATTCCAGAAGTAATTCTGTGAAATTTCTCAAAAAGGCTTGTCATACAAAGAAGATAAATTATATAAACATTTATCATATGAAGTACAATATTCTTTTTTAGAAATCTAATTTGGTTAGTGACAAAAAATGCATCACATTTAATTTTTTTATAATGTCAAAAGTAACTAAATAACAAATATTTGAAAAAAAGGATTTAAAATACAAGAATACAAAGGCTTTTATTTTGTCTTACCAACACTTTATAATGAAAGTAAGCCCCCTCCCCCTCCATACCTCTCCATGGACACCAACGGGCTTCACATTCAGCTGGTCATCCATGACAACAACATGAATCCCAGGAATCAGCTTTCCCACAGGACAGAACTTGCAGGACTTCACTGGCAATTTGCCTGGTGACAGATCTGCAAAACAAATATGCTTATGCTATTCAAATTCAAATATGGCGGGGATATTAAAGTTACACAGGTTACAGCTAGGAAAAGAATAACGTTTAACCACTGGATCTTATCACATTATGAAGCTATTTCTTCCAAAATGTAAGAACTCATACGTATCACATGGCATGCATGTGTAAGTGCAGATGAACAAATAAATTTTGAACTAAATTGCAGATTTGAACAAACCTCAACATGGATGCCATGTAACTGAAGGCAACCTCACAATCGTAAGTCATTTCCAAGTGAGAATAATGCCGCATAAAAAACTGAAAACAACACTAGGTCCTGTGTACTAAGAGAATATGTAACATCTGGTAAGAATATCTTCTCATAGAATATAAAATATGTCACACGATTTACATTCATATTTAAATTTTAAACCGATTCCTAATAAACTACTGTTATTAGGAGACTAAAATGTGGAATATACGTAGGTCAAATGTAAACTCTTTCATGTTAAAACATTCACTGACAAACACACTGAGTGACATTTTAGTGCTGATGTACATGTAGTTGCTCACATGCCCTACAGATGTCACTCAGCTGCAGTCATACTTTCACAGATGACGAAAGAAGATTGATGTATCAATTCACGTACTTACTAGCGTTATTCTCTCGTGAAACAATTTCTTGTTCCTTTACAAACATGTACTGCCGCGTGTATATGAAGATTACCAATGCAAAGAGTACAAAAGCAAAACTTTTAATTGCAAGTGTGTAACTATACAAGACATAAAACCCTTAAACAGTAACAAACGTAACATGAAATTTTCTAGCAATTACTCCTAATAGTTTCTAAGATATTTACGTTCATTTTACCCATGTCAAACATGCCCTCAAACTGAAAAATGGCTGGCTGGCCGGCACAGGGAATTTAAATATCCACTGGTAAGTGTGGCAGTAAATTTTATTAATATTAAACATAATAATGCAGTGAAGAGGCATGTCTGAAGACATTCAATATATTACAATATCTTACCAACACATCAGTAGTAATATAATTACAAATTTGGTGCTGTAACTTCTTTCCAGACACTGTCCAACTTACTCCACATTTACTGAAGTTCAGTTAGCTGACAATGCTTTACCAACTGTGCAGGTTATGTAGCGTCAAATAACAGGATGGCAGTCGATGGTTAATTGGGGAAGGACACGGAAGCAAACAGCCAGAGACAGTTACCAGAAACCATCTCACCATTTAACCCAGACCGAGAGAGACTAAAATAAACTTCACTTATAATATCTGATCTATGTGCCAAGGCTCAAAATTGGGATTTGTGGCTATGAAACATGTGTACTTAACCACTACACCACATCATATTTATTCCTGTGCAATATGTAGAATGAGTAATGTGAGGCTTACCAGAGCAAGCGACATCATGACACTCCGACGTGCTGTACAGATTCAGGAGTTGAACATGTGGAAACAGTTCAGTAAACTGGTCCCTTAGGATCATTGTCACTACCTCGCCACAGAGCCACACCTGCCTGCAATGCATGCGACAACATCATTTTGATGAACTGCTTCAATCTGCACTAACTACTTCTTTAACATCCTGTTGCATATAACCCACAACCCTACACCACGGTCTGCCGACTCCTCTTTTCTTTTCATCCTATAGTAAAGCCTTTTCCATTCCTCTCTGTCCTCCCACATAGATATTCTTGTACCTGAGCCCATGTCTTCCCGCATGTCATCCATCCATCCTGGCGTTGATCTCCCTAGTGGTTGTTCACTCAATATCTAAGTTTATTATATTTCAGGTTTCTATGACTAAGAGTTCAGAACAGAATGTGATCTACGTGTAACACATAGGCACACCACTGTGTTCATAATTTAACTCACTCTCCATGCAGAGTTTCTATGATCAGATTTCATCCCACCTTCTTAAATTCTTGAAACTCTACAAGAATTTCATATGCACATGACACGTCATTGCTTTCCTAAGCTGTACTCGCATATACGCACCTCATAAACTGGAAAGCCTTGTTGAGCTGCAGCCCCTTGAAGTCAAGAACAGCTTGCAGTAAGGAAGGGGTAAGGAGCATGCGTGTGATGCGATGTTCCGCGAGAAAACCGGCCAGTCGCGGTGGATCATATATCACATCATCTGGGATGATATACATTGACACTCCTGTCAGGGAAGAAAAACGTCAGAACATCATTCACTCCACAGAGAACCAGTTAGAAGGAAGAAAAGATTCACTCCAACCTTCCACCCTTCTTCCATTCGACTGCTACTATACGGTAAACAAAGGCGACATATTGTTACAATGAAAATGAAGTAGCGCATCTCTACTATTCAATATTTGTAACCACAACTGGGGGTGAGTTGAAGAACAATTTTGAAAGGCATATATTACTTCGAATATATCTGCAAGCTGTAGTGCACACCCTTTCATTTTGGTTTAATTTCATTCATAAAGTGAAAGTAAAGCTGTTCCACTACATGCCATGCAGGTGCTGGGGGGGGGGGGGGGGGGTAGGTATAGATCCTACTCATTCTTAACCTCAGCACTAGGTGGGGGTGAGTGGTCAGCGTCACGCCCCGGCATTGCCTGGGAAAGGACCCTGGTACCCACTGGATATCTCACCAAATAGCAAGTCCTATCCGCAGGAACACATACATAATGAGTAAAATCCCCGAAAGGTCGCACACATGGAAACATATAGGAAGTCAGAAAGTAAATGCACAGCTCAAGTTCTCACACATTTTCCAGACTTTGACCTCTGACCCTAATGAATGGCATTAAAAGTTATCTGAGATGAAAGACCTGTGCATGGATAAGACTAGTAGACACATTTTCACAACTTACAGTTGGTGAAGCTCCTGAAAGAGAAAACAGTTTACTATGTCCATGGGTCTTGGTCCGAGTTCAATGAAATTTCTCTCATTATGGGATTATTGCACATGTACAAACAGCCGAAAGATGTCGAGCATAGACGGAATGAATCTTTTTAATATTGTCCCTAAGGAGATACCTATCCATCTAGGTAACACGCAGAATGTTGAAGTCTTCAAATCTTACATCAGGTCTTTCTGGAGTACCTACCTCTCATTAGTGGACGTAATATTTCCCACACAAAAAACACATTGCACGCCTCCCGCTCGTCTTCACAGTACGGGTACGCGACATGGCGCCAGTGGTACGAGAACACTGCGCCTCGGTGCGAGCACTTGATGCCTGAGGAAGAACAATTAAATTTCATTAAGTCACTTGCTGAAGGCTCCCGAGAAGAAACACGATGTTGATGTTGGCGCATTAAACTACAGGAATATAGAGAGCAAATATTAAAAGCTGCCACTGGACCATATCATGACACATTTAATTCAGGTTCACATCCTCAAAAACAATTTCTCTAAGAGCTACTTTAGTATTATCCTTTCATCTCCAGCACTTCAAGTGCATAATGCACAATGATGCGCAGGAACATTCAGACTTCAGGGTTTATACATAAAACTTACCTCGTACATAATTTGTTAAGCATTTGCAAACCAGGTAACAACGAAATACCATGCAAGGAAGTGATTACGGCTTAGTTTAAGGGACTGCCCTAAGATTCACCAAGAAAAGTTGAAGGAAACCACAAGAAACTTCAGTCAAAACAGGAAGTGCATCAGCCAAGACTTGAACTTACACCATCAGAATACAAAACATGTTTACCTTTGGGCTTTCCAGTGGTACCAGACGAATACACAATGTACGCCATGTCGTCCAGTGACACCCGAACAGGGTATTTTAATAAAGGAAGCCGGCTGTTCTCGCCTGTCACTCTGTCCAGCCAGTTTGTGTCCAACAGAACTGGCACTACTGAAGAACCAGTCAGATGGTCAGAGAACCAGGCTTTAGTGCACACGGCAACAGGCTTTGCGTCCTCCAGGATGGACTTGAGTAGTGCAGGCGGGTAGGATACATCAATGGCCATGTAAGCACCACCTGTGGTTCAGAACAGTTGTTTGCTATGGAATGTTAATAGTTCATACCTACGATATTCAAGAAAAACTGACACTACTGAAAATTGTTATTCGAAGCTGTGAAACAACTTTCCAAATTATGACTGAATTCAGGAAGTCAACAATTATGCAGCAGGTGCAGAAACCGTACTACGTCGTATCGGATGCTAACCTGCTCGTAGGATGGCGATGTAGCTGATGACAAACTCTAGGCAGCGGTCTAGCAGTATACCGACAATGGTGTTGTTCTTCACGCCCAGGTGGCGAAGCTTGGTGGCGAGCGCCTCGGTTAACCGGTCCAGCTCACCGTAGCTCACCTGCAACATTTGCACTGCTGTGTGAATTGGCAAGACCGACAACATCACATATTCTGAGTGATTCTCAGGTTACCTAGCAGCACTACATCATCTCTGTAGACCTTAAGATGACCATGAAGGTAACAGTTTGGAAGGAAGCAATCACAACCTCTTTATAGGCACCGAGAAGAGTTATGAAACACTTCAGCAAGAATTTCCCATAGCTCAGTGAATATTCACACGCTGCACCGCTGTGTTCTGGGGTTTTGAACAGTGACGGGTTGGTCGAGCGGTCTTGAGTTTAGTTGTCACCAGTGGAATAAATGTGATAGGAGGCAAGGCTTAAAACCAATATGATTATTATTATTACTGTGTATATATAATCTGTACAATAGTTTTGCTCACTTCTTACTGAAAGCAATGCACCATCCAACATGGACTAAACAGATCTTTGAACCTGAAAACTTTAGGCAATAAGAAAGTGATCAGCAAGGCATGTAGCCCTCTAGAACATTCCCAAAACTTTGTGCTAAAAGTAGGTCCGTCTTGCACTACCTTGCATAATACTCAGTATTCTGCCACTGTACGTTGGCCGCTCACCATTGCTGGGTATTGGACGTTGTTTCCGGGCTATAATCGTGTCTTGCTTAGTTTACCTAACTGTCTGAAACAGTGTATGGCTGTATCTGGCTGAAATAGATCCCTATATAACTCATTATAACATATACAAGAATCAAATAATATTCATAGATAACCTAACCTATCTATGTCCATGCAGCAGCTGTGCTCATATACAGAGTGTCCGGATGAAAGGTATCCAAAATAAAAAAAAATTATATCTCGGAAACTAATTGTCGAACACGTATCCGGTTTATGTCATCGGAAATAAAAACTCTGAAAGTTTTTTTCTGAGTATATAACTTTCTCAGTAAATTTCAATGTGGGCTCCCCTGGTGGCACGACAAATATCCAGACGATAGTCGACCTCGTTCCACGTTGCTTGAAGCATGTTTGGTGTTACGGTAGCCACAGCGTCCCTTGTGCGGGCTTTCAGGTGTTGAAGGTCGTTGATCCTAATTCTTTCTAGCATGTCCACAGCGAAGTTTGTGCGCGCTACTTGGTCAGTCGGTTTTACTGCATGAATCATTTGAATCTTGTACGCTCTTAGGCGGAGCCTTTTGTGTAGCACATCGCGCACTGTTGAACGTGGAAGTTGTAACTGCAAGCTAGCAGCACGAATTGATTCGCGCGGACTTCGCTGGAATGCCTCTCTAATGCGATCGACATTTTCTTCAGAGGTCCACGTCTTTCCAGGAGATTTTACACGCAACAGACTACCTGTAGTCCTCGGTTTGTTGTCCCGGAACGGAATGATTTTCCGTGTAGGGTGTTGACGTTCTAAAAACGTCGCAGGACAGCCGTAAGAGATTCCAACTCTGCTAGCAACAACACGCATTCAACCTGTTCCTGTGGTGTCGACATCGTTACTGAGCTCAACCGAAGGTCACCAGCTGGCGCATACGCGTAAGCCGGGCATGAAAAAACTTTCGGAGTTTGACAATTAGTTTCCGAGATATAAATTTTTTATTTTGGATACCTTTCATCCGGACACTCTGTACAAAAGCACACCCAAAATACAGTCTTCAGTGTCCTTGCTGTATAAGTTTGCTGACCTCACATAAGCCAAGTTTTTTCAGGGCAGTACAAATAAGAATCCAAGGTTAAGAATCAAGTCTGTAACATGTTCAAATAAAGCAACATAATACACCAGCTTAACCTGCTTCTTCAACTCAAGATTACTTGTTTACCTTTTTCCCATCATAAGTAACGACAGCTACCGCTTCAGGTGTAGCCTTCGCTTGTTTCACGAACTGCTCATGCAAGCAGCCCTGTTGATCATACTGTTTCATCGCTTCTTCTACAGGGTCTGCCATCATCACAGGAGACATTGCAGCAAACTCTAGGATTAAACATCAATGAAAAAATTATCCTTGACATCAGTCAGTGAAAAAGATTAAACTTCTGAGTCCATCCGGTTATTACTGCAAAATGTATTCAATTCTCTTGGGCAGGAAAGACAAAGAAACACTGAAATAGGGAAAATTACAATATAATGATCCACCCTCCCCAACCTCAACCGCAGTCGAACTGGGAAGGAGGTGTCGAGTTCTACGTGTCGTAGGTTCGCTTGGTCCACGCCCCAGACAATAAGGAACTCGAACGCACATACATCCAATAGGCAACAAACTCCACATCAATACAGTACTTAATATGAATGCCATATATATCTTACTTGGGTCATTGATAACACAAAACCATTACCAACAAAAATCTTGATTAAAAATATTTAAATACAATCAAGGCCCACACAACAGCCTCACTATTGGTAATACCCCTACGTCTCCCTCGGCTGGGACCAAAAATATCAACCTCACGAGTTCCCCATCAACTAACAACAGGACGGGCAACTATTATTATTTATTTATTTAGTGTTCTGTCTGACGACAGGTCCATATGAACAGGATCCTTCCATCCTTTTCTCGGACTGGGACCTGTTCATATAACCGCTAGACCACCGTGGCTATATGACGGGCAACTACTATAACAAAATACAATACCACCTAATGTCACGTCACAGGGCGTACCCAGCCGGAGAGGTTGCCGACCGACATGCAGCTACAGACCAGCTGAGAGTGTTTGACTCTTCTTTCTGTGTTCTGGCGAGAAGGGTTGGTCCGCAAAAGTTCCCCCTCCAACATGCATAACCTCCCCGCACGCATTCGCACCGTCCGCCGTCTCTAACACCAGAGCCAGCTCTAGCTTGGCTCAATAAAAAACTTCAAAATTCATACTAAGTACATAACGCCAACAAGGAGAGTCAATCTTCATATAGTTAAAACAACTTGGCTAATGAGAAATTAGGTTGCACGAAACTAAAACAATGTTTCTGTTGCATCTAAAATTGTCTTCTGTCCAAAAAGTATCCGACTATATTTTTTTCCGCGGTAAGTAATGGCGAAAGGGTGGGAGAACTGAGCGTAGTGGTAGAAGGGACTTTCATGCGCATGCGTGATTTTTGCTTCCTCGGAGCCCCGCCGGATGCGTCTGTCACTGCCAGATAGCGTTGCATTCTCGTTTCGCACAAGATGACGGAACGCTTGGAGCAGCGATACTGCATCAAGTTTTGTCAGAAACTTGGGGATACCCAAGCGGAAAGAATCTGCAAAATTCAGCAGGCGTTCGGCGATGATGCAATGGGGGTCACTCATATTAAAGAGTGGTTCAACCGCTTTAAATATGGCCGCATGTCGGCGGAGAGTGACCAGCGAGCCGAAATGCTGATGGCATTGACAAAGTGCGGACATTGATCATGGAGGACCGTCTGGGAAATTGCTGAAGAGGTTGGGATCAGCAGAGGTTCCGCAAACACGATCTTAACTGAGGATTTGGGCATGCGAAGAGTGGCGGGAAAAATTTTGCCCAAGCTGCTTTCGCCAGAGCAGCAACAACTCCGCCTTGAGGTCGCGAAGGACATGCTGGACTGCACCAACAGGGATCCTGAAGACTGTGATCATTGGTGACTAATCGTGGGTGTACGGATATGACATGGAAACCAAGGTCCAGTCGTCAGAATGGAAGCATTCAACATCCCCAAGGCCCAGAAAAGCACGACAGGTTTGGAGCAATGTGAAGGTGATACTGACTGCTTTTTTCGATTACCGGGGTGTTGTGCATCATGAGTACGCACTACTAGGCCAAACTGCCTACTTTGAGGGGGATTAGGTATTGCAGCCCCACCAGATACAGAACTTTGTTTTCCAGGCCCAAGGTCGGATACTTATTGGCCGAGTCACATTCAGACTCCACTTTAAAGAAACTCTCAAATTAACACAAAAATGTGAAGTTTCAGTTTGATCCAATGTGACGTGCAGAGTTATGCCATCTACAAAAACTTTAAACAGTAATTTTAATATTGAATTCAAGAATCTTCCCGAAGCACATTAAAACATGTCTATGCTCTTATTATATTTCAGTTGTAAAGTGAAAATTTAACCAACAATGCTTCCTGTTACATTGTGCAATAATCAACCAATAAGCAAAAGGCACAAAATATTCAATTAAATGCACTTTCATGAACAAAGAAAGACACAAAAGAGAATAAACGAAATAAACAAAGCAAAATGCAATGATTCAGTCCGTGCCGCAAAGAAAACACAGCACTCCACGTGGCGTTGAGTCTGGTGGAAGTGGATGAGTGCTCATCTCCCTGATGATGATGATGGAGGCAGCAAGGACCTCTGAAACGTCGGAAAAATTCTACCAGACTGCACGGCACTACAACCCCGAAGGCAGCCATCGTCTTACAACACTTCACCATTACAGACTTCATTTGGTTGATACCATTTAAGAAATAATAGCGGTTCATTGTAAGACCCCATCAAAGCAAATAAAATTGTAAGACTTACTAATCGCTAAACAAGCTGGCGCAAGACTTTATGGAGATCCAAAGCAAAGAACAAGATGCAGATTACCTTCGTTTTCCACCGTATGGACATTGCAAATTAATTAACCTAGAGAAAAAAGCCTTACCAGATCCTTCCAACGTCGACACGCAGCTTCAGTCGTCTGATACTCCGCAGTGTTTGCGAATTGCCAAAAGCGAGACGTTCAAGGCTGAGATTTTTGAAACAGCAGGCGACCTTGAGGCAAGTTGTTTTAAGATTACACCACCTTGTTCGTAACAAGATTGCAAAAGTGCAAATTCATTAGAAGAATACGTCGTTTAGCCGACGACACGACCTGGAAAGGAGTTTAAAAGTGGTTTTCAATGGCATCATATGCATGCAAATTTCATCACAATCCTTCAGCCTGTTCTCGAACTGAACCACGCGGGCGGACACCAACTGTTAGCCGCAAGTTTACTGCTTGTCCATGGCGCAAGGAACCGGAAATCCTTATAAGGCCATCTTCACGCTTTGGCGTACGCGAAGAAAATCTATCCGCCCGTCCACGCTTGCATGTCGCGTCCTCAACACCGTGAACCAAGGCGACAGTCTGATCCCACATTCAACAATTACATTTTTAAAACAATCAGTCACGCACTAGATTAAGCGAACAGTAAATTAGGCAATCCTTTTTGTTTCCCAGACGGCTGCGTCGAGTTCCTCCCACGAATTAGCGGCGAGCAACGTCCCAGCCAAGCTTTTTAACACTTTGAACCTAACCTAACCTAACCTAATACCGCATGCTTCCTTCCTGGGCCCTCTTGCTTGCTACTTCCTCTCCCATGTTCTGCCTACTGGGCCTGGGCACCTTGGGGCTTCCAATTCCTGGTTGCAACAATGTAAACTTGAGGTCACTGTTAAATTTGTTATTTCCTATTCTCATCGCCTCTGATGTAGCATGAATAATGCCGCTGGAATTTCAGTGTACTCCAAAGAATATAAGTTTCCAGTCTTGTTATTGTCGCCACAGCAGCAACAATTGAGATGATATTCTTCTGGGTTTTGGTACCACGTGGACTAGTTGGTGTATATATAAAATTTCGGTGCAATGCAGTCCCCATTTTCAGCCAACATTTCTCTGAAACAGTTAACTCTATGGGGATCAGCCAATGACGAGGCCTCCGTCTGCGACTCGTAACACAACGCGCACCCACACCTGTAAGAGGATTTAGACTGTCTTAGACCTTGTAGTCAGTGCAACCTGAGAATCTGAGAGATCAAGAAATATTAGAAACTGCACTACGATACACACACGTACATTCTCAATAAATAAAAAACAAAATAAAAACAGATTGTACTTGGCATAGTTCAAATGATGAAAAAAATCAGTGAACGAGTGTCGTAGAAACAAGGCATCTCCCTTATAAAAATCAGCACATTCGACCTGACATCTGCTAGAAAAGCAGCTAAAAGCATGAAACAGGTGTTCCATTATTATTATTACAGAGATAATCTAGGATACAATTAACATGCATGAGGGACAGAACATCCAGCTGTTTGATTGGCATGTGCATCAATTCAAGACAGTGTTACCAACTGCAGAGGCTAATAAGGTACAAATTAAATAATTAAACAACTCGGGGAAAACAAAGCATTTGCTGCCATACATCGTAAACTTTTGTTTACTTACTTGTGGTTTATTTAACATTGAACTGTCGCTAAACGAGACTGCGCGATGATTACCTCCTCTCTTCTTGAGCTATGCCATTCTCCTTCTCCTTCAGCTTGTGGAACAAACGAATACAAAGAAAGGGCAAACACACGTCTGGCTGGCGACAAGAAATTCATAACGACCTGCTCACTTTTGTGTTAAAGGCCTCAAAGTGTTGAATCGCTGCACTCGCACGGACTACGCGGAGCATTCGTTCTCAACATCTGAGGCACTGACTCACACACCATCAGCGTAAGAATGAGCCCATTTTCTTATTATTAAAGATGCTACTAGCTTACAGTGATTACTCAGTAATTTTCTTTAGCAAATTTGTAGATTTCTTGTTCGAAAACTGCTTAATCTGAACGTACAAACTATTCTCATTTACAGAGGATCTTAACACTGTTACAAAAGTATATACGGGCTGTGCAAAAGACACTGTCAGGCCACACGTGGCCTGCGCGCTGTGGCTGAGAACCCCTGGAACAGAGAGAAAGAGAAAAAACCTTACTTTGGATAGAAGGACAGGATCCAACAGTGGGGAAGAAACCAAGGGTTCCATGACAATAAAACATTTCTTGACCAATTGAATAACTGTAAGCCGTCCCACCCTCAGATCAGGGAAACAAGAAATGCAGATCATTCAGGTAAGGAAATGGGTCTTTATCTCTTCTTGTTAGGAAAAATGCCCTGAGAACAAATTATGACAGTAAACTGGCATTAAGAAATAAATTTGTAATCAAACAGGTTCTCTGCATACTACGTTTATAATACAAGAAATTACAGACTGGACACGAGTATTAAAATGGACACACACTTCGGAGATGGAGGTTCAAGGTACTAATTTTTCTTTCCCATGCCCAATGCAGGGCACGGTATGTTTGATTCACTAAAAGAACGTGACAATGAAACTGAATGTACTCTTAATTTTGTCACAAATGTACATTTCCAAATGATTTATTTTTTACCTACACACAATAACTGAATGTCGAGGACTCCAAGTGAGGGCAGATACATGG